TGAATCAAGTTTCGCATGGCTTTTCTTGTAGGGTTTCACGCGCTGTGTGGAAGCGGGGTAGGATTTGTCCCCGTCGCCTTGTCCTTGTCAGGGCTGGACATGACGGAAAATATCGGGGGCTAATTGGTGCTGAGGCTCCGTGCGGTGGCAGAGCCGTGGTTAGAGGCTGTTCGGAAATTGCAGGTGGAAACAGCTTTAATTCCAAAAAGATTTTTTTTTCATTGGGTTTTTTTTGGGGTTTTTTGTTTGTTTGTTTTGTAACGGAAGCAGGTTTTAATTACAACTTGGGGAACTGAGAACTTAAAAATCATGCTTTGTTTTAAGACCGTTTTCAGTACGCAACAAGAATTGATCTAGAACCAAGTTTTTTAATTTTTAAATTGATGGAGTTTTTTCTTATTATTATTATTAATTTTAGTGCCTGGGCTTCTGGCTTTAGTGCCAAGCTTTCAAGCCACTAACAATTAAAACCCTAGCCCTAAGCCCTCGAAATGGGTTTGTAACTGAAACGGCAGTTGGCCCTCAGCTATAGCAGGGCTACACAGCTAGCTGGTTTTTTTAATCACGTAAATCCATGTCATCCCTTGTAGAGGAGGGATTATTCACGTGGCTTTTTTTGTTTGTTTGTTTATGCAGTCTGATACTTTAATTATTGCTAAAAATGAGATTGACTTGACTTACAGGATGCGACAGGTCAGCATCAGATGTATTTTTGGACTCCATTTTAATATAGCTGTTGAGGTTTTCTTGATGCATGCTCTCTAGGGACTGCAAAGGAAGGTTCTAGCTGCTTTCTCTACTTCTGGCTTTCCGGGCTCTCTCGGTATTATGCTGACCCAATATCCTCAATTATAAGGAGAAACATCGTATATATGTGTATATATGTATGTATTTTCAAAGCAAGGCAGGCTCAGCAGGAGGAATTCCGATCCAGCGTAAAGCAGAAAGAACAGCAGCATGCACATGCTGAAACTGCGCTTAAAAAAGCAAAACTACAGAAACTTCTGTACTTGTGTAACTGAAAAGTTGTGTAAATTGTATGCAAATAAATGCATATGTGTCAGTATTTACATACAGGTGTTAAATAAGGAGGAGCTGCCTGGACTGCCCAGGCCTGTAACAGAGACGAGAGAATTTATGCCGATAATTCTTTCCTGGAATCCTTATCTTGTGGAAGGAGCTGGAGAGCACTTTTAGAAAAGCATTCGGCCTTGATTAAAAGATTTTAAAGGGTGGAGAATCCACCCACGTTGTTTGATCGGCTGCTCCAGGGGTTTGTTACCCTGGCAGGTGAACTCTCAAAGAAAAAAAACCTTTTTGTAAGGGAGCGGGTTGAAAAAATGGTAAAGGCGACAAACTTTTTCTGCCCCACATTTACCTTTCCCATCAAGCTTTATTTGCTAATTAAGGTAACAAATGCTTCCACTTTAGCTTAGAAATGTTGCATTGGAAATAAAATCCGCAAGCACTTGTTGGAATGACGGCGCAGTCACACGTCCCCACGGTGCCCGTTTTCTAACGCCTCTCTGTCAAGCGAAGGCGACCAGGAGATGCCTGCAAAGGGCAGTAGGCAAGGCGTAGCCTCCTCTCCCAGGCAGCGCTGCTGAAGCTCTGTACAAGTCCCATCGTTCGAATTCAGGCCAGGCTTTGGCTGAGGTGACTTCTTGCTCTTTTGCTCCTTTTGGTTAATCTTTCCCATCATTCTCCAAACACTCAGTTTGGTTTCTCCGTTCTAGTTGAATTAGCCAAACTCTCTGTGTGAGTGCGCACGTAAATACATGTAAATATGTATATATTTAAAGAAGCAACTGGCAAAGATATTATAATGCTTCGATTGCCATTTTATTTGCAGGACAGACATGAGATTTCCTCAGTTCTGTGGGGTTTTTTTCCTGGGCTTAATTGTTCCAATTACTTTTTCAGATTGACTCTTGGTGCAAAGAGAATAGCTACGTGATAGCTGGATATTACCAGGCGAACGAACGCGTGAAAGATGCCAGGTGTGTTGGTGCAATACTTCCTTCTGTTTGCTCTTTTGTGTTGTACTTTGTATTCTGCCAGCAAAAATCATCGACATAAATCGTGCGTGTTGATTAACTTTGACAACTGTCACCTGGTTTCACATTGTCTTCGTGGTGCTGGTGGATGTGGCCTTTGTTCAGGTGCAGAAACCCCAGGCGTTCCAGGATCGCCCCTCTTTAGTGGGTGCTATAAAAGGCCAGTATTTGAACGACTGCCAGCCAGTTTAATTACAGTTGTCAGGGAAGTAGCCAAAACTTGCAGGCGTGTTTGCTCGTGCAGTACATGTCTTGTAAACTCAGAAGACTCCGAAAGTCTTTTGGAAAGTCTTGCAGAAGTGACCTAATTCTCACTAAACTGCTTAATTGTCTCCGAGTTTCACTGAGGCGTTTTCTTACGTGGGGAAGGGACGCTTCTGCAATGGAAGGTGATGTCAGCCACGCAGAGTTGCCTCTTTTCGCTTGTATTCCCCAGGGTTAGTCATCTTGTTTCCCTGCGAGCTAGCTCAGATTACTCAGTCAGCAATGAGGGGCCTTCCTGCGGAGCCACAGTGTAGTTCCAGATAGGCGTTAGCGAATATTTTCCCCTGTGTCTGTTAGACAAATCCAGTATCAGGACTACATCAGTCAGTCTACATCATACTTGCATGTGAAATAGAAGTGAGGAGTTTTTTTAAAGTATTACGCCATGTTCCAGTTATTTTATTAATGCATATCCGTCAGCTGCAAGTATGTTTTTTAAGCATTACTTGTGACTGCTAAGGTATCTGACAAGGATAAGGGCATTATTTGTCTTTTGCTTACAAGGGAAATAAATCTGCTGGAAACATTTTTCAGAAGATAGAGTTTGTCTGTTCCGTTTGCGGTTTGTAAGAATATCACAGGCTCCGGGGGTTTTTAAACTCCCTTTCTGAAGATTACTGGCACCACGGAGAGGCTGTCATCTCTGAAACAAGGCCCTTAAAAGATTACCTGCTTTTGCTGGAGGCTGGGTAGCGAGTGGGTTCAAATGCAGACGGGGCAGCAAACTCAGTTTCTTTTTCAAATGCTTGCCAAGGCAAAGGAGGCTGCGGCCTTTGGTCTGGTGGAGGAAGGTGGGAGGCTGCAAAATGTTGATTCCACATAAAGCGCAGTGAGCATTTTGCTCTTCAAAAACCCATTGCCTAAGCATAGCGAAGAGCCAGCTCGTCTGCTGAAGAGAGGAGCCGGGGTTTGCCTGGCCTGCTGGCTCCACTCATGCGTAGCATCAGCTTGATATCTCGTTCCTGTTTGTAAGCACGCGATGTAATTTTCACATCTCTTTAAGCATGTTTCCTGCTGCTTTCAGCTGAAATGTCATGGTTCACGTAACACAGTTACTTTTACCTTCTGCTGCAGTCCAAACCAGGTGGCAGAAAAGGTGGCCTCCAGAATTGCAGAGGGCTTTAACGATACAGCGCTCATAATGGTAAATTACTTCATTTCCCCCGCTCCTCTTTCCGTATCGTTAAAGTTATGACGGTGGTGTTGGACCGGCCGCTCGAATGCCGTTCCCTGGACCCTGTAGCAGTGAAGTGACTGATTGTTCTCTTCCCCTCCAAACGCTCTGGGGAAGAGATGCAGTGTCCCGTAGCCAGGGAAGCTCTCACGGAGCCTACGGAGAGGCTGTGGTTAGCTCTCTGCCGCCTCGGAGGAAGTGGAGGCCTGCTCTGCTCCCGAGGCCTGAGTGCAGGCAGTGTGTTCATGGCTGCAGACCGCCTGCTGTGGCTTAAAATCTTGTCCTAGATGAAGCGAACGATGCTTTGCCTCCTCGCCGCAGCGACAAAGGATATTGGCAGTTTAAAAGTGTAAAATTTGTCTCATTTGAAGGTAGAACAGTAGACGAGTTAGTGTGAGGTTCCCCGATTATAAAAACTGACTTTTTAATTCATCTCTTTGCTTGGGGTCTCAAGGAGGAGACTAAGGCGCTGTTTTCCTGTGGCACAACAGGTCGATAACACCAAGTTCACGATGGAGTGCGTAGAGCCTGCCATTCATGTGTATGAGCTTCATGAGAACAAGTGGAGGTGCAAGGACCCACACATGTGAGTAAACTTCAGGGCTGGCTTGTGTTTGGGTCGTAAGGAAAGACGGATTTCCTGCTTAAGGGCAAAACTTTGGTTGTGCTGAGTGATGCTGTAAGGGCGGTGGGTGTAGCTGACAGTGCTTGGAAAGCTGGTTTTTGCTGCGGTGACAGAACAGCCACCTTCTGCAGCCGGGCGGTCGCGTGAACCGCCGTGACCACGTTGCAGAGAGCGTGCCTTCATTTCCAGAGTGGTGGAAGTGGTGGAGATTTTCTTTGTGATTACTTGTAATTCCTGGTTATTTTATGTCCTAGTGATTTTTGTGAAGATTGGACCGAAGCCCAGAGGATCGCTGCATCTCTTTTGGACAGCAAGTCCTACGAGACACTTGTAGATTTTGATAATCACCTGGATGATATCCGGAACGACTGGACAAACCCCGAGATCAACAAAGCTGTCCTCCACCTGTGTTAGGGGCGTTTCTACTGACTAATTTACAGGCGCTCCCACTGTGTACTGAAGAGAGAAAAGTGCTATTTTTGAATGTAAATAGAATAATATTCAGTACCTTGTGTGGAAACCTGGCTGATTAAAATGGAGTGGCATGTCACGTTGCAGAGAGTGATGTGTCCGTAAGCCGCTGAATCTTTTTTGTGAGGTTCCTTGGAAGAACTGCAAACTGTCCCTTACAGCCGTCCTCCTGGGTGCCTTCCCAGTTGTAGCTGATGTTGCTATTGCTTCGAAACCAGAACTCGTTCTGCTTGTCCCTGCTGTTCGTACTACAGGGTTTTGACTAAGCTTTTCTAATCTTCGGAGAGATTGCTTCTTAATGATTTATGGAAACACCTTTCTGAAAAATCAGTTTTGTGCTCAGATGAGATATTTTAAGGTGAAAGTCATAAAATTTAAGGTTAGCGGTCTCTTTTGGCCTGGTTTGGAAATGTCGTTCTGTCGGCACAGTAAGAGGCGGACGGCTGAGGGCGAGGTACCGTGGTCCTGTGTCACCTGTTTTGCAGGGGCTTAGCGTGACACGGCTGCAGAGAGCGTGATAAAGCGGCATTCCCTAGCGCTGCGGTGGTGCCCGCTCCCCGTGGGCGCACAGCCGCAGCTACTGCTTCAGTGTGCTGAACGCAGGGTGAAGACAAATCGTCACCCAGAGGTCTGTGGAAAGGACTGGAAGCACCGTCATGAGTTTGAAGGACAGTTCCGAAACGGTTTGCGTCTACAAAAGCAGAGTGAAATACCTTATTAATTTTGTGCAGTCTTTTAGGGTTTGATAAACAGATCTCATTTGCAGCTGGCTCGTCTGGTGTCCGTAGAAGTAGGTCTAAAATGTATCCCTCCAAGTTGAAGGCAATCTGAGTACGTCGAATCAAGGAGCCTAGATACAGTCTAGCTCGGCTCCTGTCTGCCTGTCTAATTAATGTTTGTTTCTAAGAATAAGTCTGCTGGACAATGAAGCTTTGTATCGGGCTAGTACAGATCTGTGCAAGTCTTGTTCCCTTACTCCTCTTGGTTGTTTGTCAAGCTGTCGTTAAACATAGCCTCGACCTGCGACGCTTTCTCTAGATTTCATTCTCTTCCTACCCGAAAATGTTCTCACAAGAAAGATCCGAATGGTCGACCTCTCTCCAGCGTCCCGCTTAGTGTTCTTGTTTCAAAACATGGGAGATGGGATTGTCAAAACCTCTTGGTCCACCTCTGCTTCTCTTTAAAGAAGCACAAGTTTTGGTCTTAGTGAGAGACGGGATAAGGCTAAAATCCCGTTCTGAAGTAGTGAACGGAACCAGGATGCCTCCGGTCGGGCCCTGCTGTGGAGTTCCCTGCAGTTCAGATTCCGCAGAGCTGCGAGGTGAGGTCTGAGGTCCAGCTCCCTCTCCAGGAGGAGGTGAAGGTGTGAAGTCTCCCTGCTAGGCAGTATAGTAAGGTGTGATGGGAATTACAAAAGCGATAGGCACTTGGTCAATAGCCTTTCCTAAGAGGAGTCAGGTTGGCTTGCAGGAAAGGCAAACGTTTTCACTTGTTGAATGAAAGCAGGTGTCTAGCTCAGCAGCAGCGAGGTGAACATGTTCCAGTGGCTGTTTCACTACGCACCCGTGGCTGTGTGAAAAGGTACCGTGGAAGCTGCAGTGCTCTGGCAACGCACGGTCGGAGCAGACCCCGCACGTCGCTCGCGCTGCAGGGAGAGGACGGTGTGCTGCTGTGTGCAGACACCTCGTGAGGTCTAACCCGCTGTTCAGAGGCAGATGTTAGCTTAGCAAGGCGCCTTACGTTAGTTAGGCGAGATTGTCGCCAGCGCTGCCGCATCAGCCGGTGTGTCTCCTGAGCCACAGGGAACGTGTTTCTTATTCCTTGTAACTGGATGTCATAATCGAGCTTTGATCGTGTATATATGCTAATGAAGTCTAATCTTGCAGTACTGCCCCCCCCCAGTAAGACAAAGCAAAATGTGTATAATGAATCTGTAGCCTGATGGCAACCCTCTCTGTGAGGAACCGTCGAGACGCGTTGCCGGAAGGGGAGCAGCTTTTAATGCTTTGTCTTTCCCGTTTTTTAATCTTCTGTTTGCTTTTAAATGAGATCCTGTGAGTGTTTTGCCACCGGTAGGAGCCCGGGACAGCTTTAAGGAACAAGGACAGGCACTGCGGTGCTCGGCTCTCGCCTCACCTGTCCTGTTTGCACTGAAGGCTGGACAAAGGGCAGCGGTTTCACACAGCGAGGCAGCCTCGCCGGCTCCTGTGAAAGAATGAGGAAGGTGCCTGGCTCCACGAAGGCTTGTTCCTC